GGGACTGTTAAAATCAGTGAAGAGAGCAGTTTAATCATTATAATGTAGATATATACTCAGAATCAGTGAAACATGTTCCTAAAAGGTGGCTGTAATCGTGTTTTGCTTTTCTTCTACAGCCAGCCCCTTAAGCGTATCAGTCTGATCTGGTTAGTGTTTGTTTCTCATAGCTTCAATCTTCCTTCTTTTTAAAAATTCAGACTCTTAACTGGCATTCCCAAAAAGAGGACTAGTGCAAAAAACATTGGAATATGGATGAGAAACACACATTTATCCTGACCTCAGTCATCACCAGAATTATCCTTTTGAGAGGGTTGAGAAGGCACACTTACTAATTTGGGGGGAGGGGGTGTACTATCAGGTATCCTGTAAATCTACCCCTCCTCCGCCAGTGCCTGGCATTCTACGGGAGATTTTCATCTTTGATTCCTTTCATATAGACTTTTATGACATGAATTTGCATGGATCTTCTACTCCGTACTGTAGGACAAGAGCAACTCTTGACATGTAGTTAGGATGGAGTACATGAAAAAGGTGAAGAAAGTTGAGAATTTGAATATCATTCTCCTCACATAGGAGCTTGCTCATTCTGCTGTAATGAAAGTGTTGTAAGCTTGGCTTGAAGCAGTCATTTTATTCGTATATTTATATAAGTGTGTGCTCTCAGAAGGCAGGAAATCCTGGGACAGGATGGTTGGGATCAGCTGTAGCTGCAATACTGGTATGTGGGGCAGAAAAAAAGGTGTGATAACTGTATGGGGAAAGAACATCAGGAGCCCCTCAAGGGAAGTATAAGAACAACTTTTAAATGTCATTTATTAATTATGCATTTTTTAAAGATTTATTTATTTATGCTTACAGAACTGGGGTACAGGCCAGAGGTGTGGTAGGTGAGAGGATTCACCAGAGACAGAGTGGGGAGCAGAACAAGCAGATGTACTGAGGCACAGGCACACTGCTGAGGGGAGCAGCAGGCGGGTTAGGACAGGTCTGCCAGGCCATGTGGGTCAGTGCCCTGGCTGGGGATTGAACTCTGAGAGCTTTGTAGCATGGAGCTTTAACCCATTGCACCATCAGGGAGAGCCCTTACTTATATTTTTAATGGAGGTACTATTGGGGAACTCTCACCGAGGGGTTCAGTGCACCCATTGAAGTGCACCCTTTACCAGCTCACCCAAATTCCACTTCCACAGACCACTGAGATTCTTCCCTCTTTGTTCTCTCCCTTACCAGGTTGGTGTTTCAGTTCTATGGACAACTATCAAGTGTTAGTTCTTCAACTTGCCTTTATCTGACTATTAATTTACTTATTTTATATCCACATTTTAGTGACACCATCTAGTATTTCTCTTTCTCTTTCTGACTTATTTCATTTAGCATTGTCTTTTCAAGCTCCATCCTTGTTGGAGCAGATGGCATGAGTTTATCTTTTCGGATAGCTGAGTAGTATTCCACTGTGTCTATATCGCACATTTTCTTGATCTGTTTATCTGGTGGACTGATTTATAACTTGAAGATTAAGGAAAGAAAGATGAATGATGTCTTAGAGATATAATTCAAACAGCACAAATGTCAGTCTTTTTAATATACATTCTGTAGTTTCAAGTATATTCCCAACTTACTCTTCTTAGTTTCAGAACATTCAACACTCCATAAAGAAACCTTTTACCCATTCATGGCCATTCCCATTCCCCTTCCTCCTAATCTCTGACAACCACAAATCTGATTTCTAGCTCTATGAATCTGTCTATACTATCCCATATAAAAGGAATCATACGATATGTGACCTTTTACACTTGGTTTCTTTCACTTAGCATATTGTTTTCATGATTCATCTTTTTTGTAGCTCATATAAATCATTTAGGCCTTGTTTTAGCTGAATAAATGGATGTAGTGCTTAATGACTCTCACATAAGAGCATATCATACACCCAACACAAGTCTAAGTAAGTGTTTTCTTGCACTAACTCTGGCATCAACTTTGAAAAATGTCATTAGCATTGATTCTTTTTTTCTTAATCCCTATGAAATCGATTGTCATTATGCCACTCACAAATAAAGAACTGAGGTGCAGAGACAGGTAGGAGGTGAGAAGATGGTATCTACACCTGGCCTTCTCCCAAGACTGCACCATTGACTACCTTGCTGATGTGTCTTTTCACCTGTGGCCCACATGGAAGATGGATAAAGTGCCAGAGCCATTTAGGCCAAAGTGCATTCAGATGGGCTGGGGATGAGATGACTAAATTAGATACTTGAACCACTTCCACTGGCTGAGTTCTCCAGAACATTTTTCTGGCTTATATAGGCATAGCTTGTTTATTCCCAGTTGTTTTCTTCCTTTTTTAAGCACTGGTTTAATGGCATCTGCATTGTTGTGTGATACCCAGAGCATTTATAGAAATCAGCAGCCATTTCCAAATTCAGAGTACTTTTCATTTACTAACCAATGTGTCTTTAATAGCTGGCCAACTGACGTTGTTTTCAAAGAGTAGTACTACTTAGTGCCAGTTATGCCCCATAGTAATGGACAAAAATAGTTTATTTCTTGGTAATTCAAGATCACTTTCTCAGAAGGGGGTCTATATAGCTTCTTTGACTTAGTACTTCAAACAGATGAGTTAATTTTCAGCCTGGAAAGTGGCCAAATCTCTAACTTGACATGTTCACTGAATAATAAACTTAATGTGAGAGAATGATGCCAGGCACAAGAGGATTTGCTAAAAGGGCATTTGAACTCTACAAATGATACAAAATATTTCCCCTCTTAAGAAACTTTAATAAATTATTAAATCAAAAACTGTGAAAGAGCTTGTGCTTGATTCAGCTTCTAATATACATATCAGTGAATACATTATCTGACAGTATGACAGCAGTAGGCTAAACATTAGATCCATGTGAGATATTTCCAGTGGCTGAGTTCCCTCCTCCCTGCCCCCCCCCACCTGCCCCAGGTGAAAAAGCCTGCAAACCTCGAGAGCCTCTGAGTTCTGTACTGCTGAACCCACTCTTATTCAGAAGCTGAGACTCACTGCTTGACAGATGTCCAGTGTCCCTGTCCTCACTAGGTTTGGATCAAACCTGAACTTGATTTTTTTCTCTGACATTCAGGACACCAGACAGATGCCTCAGTAGCATTTCAGTGCTCTTGTTCTGCTTGCATAGGTCAAATGCATCCTCCTGGCACTCTATGTAACTGTTTAAAATCTTTCAAGGTACCGCCAAAGAACTATAGGGTGTAGGTTCTATGTTAAGAAATTAACACATTGTGCATTTTTCCTTTCTTTAGAAACAAAACAAATCTCAATTAAAAAAAAAACTTTCGGCCCTCCCTGGTGGCGCAGTGGGTTAAAGCACTGCACTGAGAAGCTAAAGCCACTTCTGCATGAGTTCGATTCCCGCCTGCCCCGGAGGTGACCATATGGCGTGGCAGACCTCTCCTGACCCACCCGCTGCTCCCCTCAGCAGTGTACTTCGTCGATCTGCCTGTTCTGCTCCCCACTCTGTCTCTGGTGAAGCCTCTCACCGCCCCGAGCCTCTGGCCTGTACCCCAGTTCTGTATGCATAAATAAATAAATCTTTAAAAAAAAAACTTTCAGGAAAAAAGTTTTCAGAAGACAAAAAAGCTGCAATCTCTTACTCTGGTTGAGTGGAACTCTGAACATAGAGTCACATTAATAATGTTACCACCTTTATGCAGACTCTATCTAAAGTAGAAATGTATAAAAGGCCCTCCTTGGTGGTGCAGTGGATTAAAGCACAACACTATGAAACTATCCATAACCACTGCAGGATGAGTTCGTCCCTGGTCAGGGAGGTGACCCACATGGCTCAGCAGACCTCTCCTGACTTGCCCACTCTATACGTTAACAGGTATTTCAGTTGATCTGCTTGTTCTGCTCCCTACTCTGTTTCTAGTGAATCCAATTCTTGTGTGCATAAATAAATAAATCTTTTAAAAATAATAAAAATAGAAATGTATGACTTAAGCTTTGAAAATGAAAACATTCACTTTTCACTAAAATGCTAAAATACTTCTTCCACCTTTCATTTTCCGTAGTAAGTGTCTACATTCCTGCTTATTTTTCTTCTGAATAAGCAGGAACCTCAGCACATTCAGGTTAAATTAATTTAGAAGATTAGCCCTGGCAGCTGTATTTAGGGATGTTTCTAAAATTTATCCTTTAACAAGAAATAGATGGTAGGGCCGTTGCTTTTAAGAGATTACAAATGTGTTTATACCACAGTGAGTTTAGGGGAATTTGGAAGGAGAGTTTGGGCCACAGCAACTTGAAGCAAAGGCCAGCGTGTGCCAGTCACAGAGACACTGCCGCAGAGCATCGGGGAAGTAGGCATAAATAAGCTTTCCTGTTGGCTACTTTGAATAGTAAATTGAAATGATCAGCAAGTATCATTTGCCTTTGCAATAAACTAGTTTCTTTTTCAGACTCCTTTCAGTTCACAGAGACCTCAACTTTTTAGAAAAAAAAAAAACTTGCATGAATTTCAAAGAAATTCTGTCTCCATAGTCAAGGTTCTTATGCTGAAGGTGAAATGAATGCGTTTTAGGGAGCTCTGAATAAGCTTTCTGGTTACTGGTGCCTGTGAATAATTATATTCTCACCTTTCCTGGGCCATTCATACTCTTTTTGTAAAAAGCTCATGCTCTGTTAGTCACCAAACGAATATTTATCATGTACATACAGGTGACACCCCAACATAAGTCATGTGTGTGTGTGTGAGTGCACACGTGTCAGCTTTTCACGAGTAACATGCTCTTGTCTTTTGTGGAGTCCCTCACATAGACTGGAGGGACAGATTTCTATGTGGTGATTGACGGTCTGGTCCCAGAGGACGACCTTTCAAGGTCATTTACTGAAAGTCAGGTCAAGTCCTAAAGCAGATGACAGCGTTGGGATTTGGTTGGCAAGCTGCAAGTGGCGTGCAGGGGTCCATCCATTTTTCATAAGTTATAATTAACACACTGTCTGCCTCCCACAGGTTCAACCTTTGGGAATGAAGACCAGCCATCTCTGAAGGCAGCTCTGCCTTCCAAAGATGCACCCAAGGGTTCCAACCGGGTGGCCCCGACAGCATCCTCCAGCACAACAGCACCCCGCAGGAGTTTGCTTCCAGCTCCCAAGTCTGTGTCCACACCTGCTGGTAAGACTTCCTGCCTGGGAGCAGCTTCAAAATTCAGTGTCTTCTTTACATTCAAGTATCTTTTGAAAGCCCCTGAGTACCTCATTTTTTTTAGATAGGCTAGAAAATGAGCTTCAATTAGCATTTAAAATTAATAAAATCACTATTGTCAAGTCATATTTATACAGTCCCATGTTTAAATTCTCACAACTGCCTCTTACTCCCTTTACTTGAATTACCAGCTTCAATTGCAAAAACAAAACAAAACAAAACAAAAAATCAAGCTATTCTAGGCAGATTGGCATTTGACTCAAGAGAAGAGTGTGCCGAGGAATTCATTGGAAGGACCTTCAGAACAAGCTCCAGGCTGCATCTCCAGGAATGAGTCCCAGGACCCCACAGGAAACTTCTGCAACAATCAGGAGTCTGTTCCTGGTGCTAGCTCTGGGCTCACACCACGAAAGCTGGGGTCTCCGGATCAGCAGCTGCTGCAGTAGGGCTAACTCCAGAGCCCACCGTGACACCTAAATCCAGGCCAGGAAAACAGATGCTCCGAACCTGCACACCCATGAAGCTAGTGATGGTGGCAGGGAACTCAGCTGAGCTCATGCAGCCCGCTGTGGGCCTGTGCTGCTTTCTTCTCCCACATCTCCTAAAATGGCATCTGTTTGTCTGCAGGAATGTCCATGCATGTGGTTCTTAGCTTTCTAGCCCCTGTACTATAAGCAGGTATACTAGGAGGAAGGGAGAATGGATGTTAAACTAGAGTTCAACAGTATCTGCTGTGGCTGGCTCACCCACATTCACTCTTCCATACATTTCATCTATGCATATAGAACCATAAGCCAGTGTACATACACATGCACACATTAGGGGCTTGTATGAGTTACTAGGAATGTGTCTGCATGAGACACGCTGCCATGTGACTTCCCTTAATCAGAGGATCATAGAAATACCTTCCAGTCAGTGACGTGAACACAAGTGCCTGGTATGGAAATAACAGGAGTTACTCACTGCGCCCACTGATGGACAGTCCCTTTGGAACTATTGATAGTATTTGCACTACAAACAATTCTGTGATCGGTGGTCTTGAATGGGTCACCTTCTTCTTATGGGGTTGACCCCCAATAGGGATTGCTGTGGGTGACATATAATAGCACTGGGTTACTTTTTACCAAGATCATATGCTTCACATTTTCACCTATCTCCCTACTGGGAGTAGGTATTCTTTCTTTTTAAAATTTTTGTCCATTTGATGAGAGTAAAATGCTATCTCCAAATTATTTTTATTTGCATGTCCCTAGTCACTAGGCTGACTGGTGCCCTTTGCTCTATGATGCAAGTGCTTCCTGTTAGCCCCTTTCATTAAGGCCTAAATTACTGGTTTAGTTTTGTTCTTCCTTAGTGGAAGGAAGGAAAACTCCTGGGGACAGTGACTGTGCCAGTTTGTTTAACAGTCTCCCTGTTGTCCCGCCCCAGGAACGGGCTCACAGTGGGTGCCTAGCATCTGCTTGTTAGTGAGTGGACAAATGAATGAATCAGATCATGTGGCATTTTAAATATCTGGTTAAACATTATTAGTAAGTTAGCCTTGGTTTAAATAGAAAATGTTTAGACCTTGGAAAATACAGTTACTGAATCAACCCTATAGATCAGTGTTTCTCAAATTTTAGTGCATGGCAACCACCTATAGGGCTTATTAAAACACAGATTATGGGGGCTCAACCTCAGAGTATCTCATTCACTAGGTCTGTGAGACCTGAGAATATGCATTTCTAAGTGCTGCTGCTGCTGCTGCTGCCTCTCTGCAGGAAACACATTTTGTGAACTGTGATATAAAAGTGGGCTTGGAATTTGAACAGACAATTCTGAGGAAAAGAAATTAAAGTGGTACTTAGCCAGATAAAAATATAGCCAATTTCATTCATAATAAATAAAATGTAAAAATTTGAAAACAGGGTCAAGGCATTTTCATCATTCCTGGTGGGAATATAAAGTAATACAACACCTGTGAAGTTGCATTTGGCAATAGCTAATAAATTGCAAATCTAAAAATTCTTGCCAAAGGCAGACTCACAAAAATACAAGGGACAGGTTTTTCAGTACAGCACTCTTGAAATAGAAAAATACTGAAAGTAACTGAGATGTCTCTCATGGGAGACGGACTGAATGAACCACAATGAACCAACAGGAGGAGGCAGGAGAGTGGGGAGGTCTCTCTTCCTGCTGGAAAGTGATTTCCAGAAGACATCATTAAGTGATAAGGACAAGATGAAGAAAAGCATATATAGTAGGCTACCTTTTATGTAAACATTCTGGAAATTATTTGTCTAGTGAAACATATCTGCTTATATAAAAAAATGATAAAAATGCATGGTGATGAATGGATACAATACTGTTGTGAAAGACTGATACAAATATCAAAACAGAACAGCTATATCTGAAACTTATTAACCAGTGTTACATCTATGAAAACTTACTGTCAAAACGAAAAAAGAAATATGTTTTAAATTTTTAAAAACGTTACTTCAGGAAAAGAAGTCATAGAATGAAGGGACTAGCAATAAAAGCTAGACACTGACTCTATCTTGTTTTGAAGATTTGACTTTGAAGTCCCATAGTATTTTACACCATTGTAAGTTAATTAGTATTAAATTTTAAAAGGTGATATCTAAAAATTGTAAATCAACGTAATTGTGTGGCCTGTTGGTTCCATGAACACCCAGCACTATTCTAAGTGAATGTAAAACACAGTGATTTCATTGTAGCTTCCTGATCACATACCATTTGTTCAAACAAAGTTGTAAAAAGAAAAAAAAATCTTAAACTGGACTAGGGTATAAATGGGATATGAATATTATGGGATGAAGTCTGAACTCATCTGAAATTGTTCTGCCCAGTCATAAAGAGTGATTAAGCCTCAGGGCCCAGACTGTGGTCCCAGATGCATTTCCCGTTAAAAGGAGACATAAAAGGAGGAATAAATCAGTTGACAGTTAAAAGGAGAAATAATCAGTTGAGGGCAAGAAGCATAGATTCCATAACCTCTTGCTATACCAGAAAGCCAAGAAAAATCCAAATACCAAAGACTACTGAAGTTGCATCAAAAGAACTTAAGAGTCAAGTTGAGTATACTCTGACTGGTTTGGAAAAAAAAAAAAAAGAAAGAAAAATAAATTAGTTTGGATATTACTGATCATAACTGTTCAGTGGATCATCAAAATAGATATATCTTCATGAGAGTTATAATGATGCAAGAAATAAAAGCCGGTTTCTTTGGAGAGGATTGGGAAATATATTCAAAATGAAAGAATACATATTTTAGCTACTTCTCTTATTCTGTCTCTCAATATAACCAAATAGATGATAAGGGGAAACCAATTTTCATATACATCCTAGCTAATAAATAAGATAAAGTAGCACATCATCTTTTCATAGCTTCTAATGAGTCAGTGGATGAAGCCAATGATCATCAATTGAGGAGACAACTAGACATTATAAACTGGATTGAAGGAAATATATGTAACATTATCTGTGAATTAGTCTTGGGGGAAATGAATCTAGTGTAGTTTCTAGATTTTACTACTAATTTATTAGAAATACAGAGTACAGTAAAGCATATTAAATAACACCATGGGAATAGCGAACCCAGACTCTGGGAAACTGTATTGGAACAAACCTGATTTCCTCAGTAGTGCACAATAGCAGAAATCCCCAAGCCCCCAAATAGCAAACAAACAATAAACAAAAAGTGATTTGGCAGATGAAGAGGGAGCCTCTTAGTTATTTATAAAATTTTGACATATTGACCAGTTACAAAGTATGGAGATCTTATTTGAGATCCTAATTTGGAAACCAAAAAACATTTTAGAAGATAACTAGAGGAATGTGAATATTGGCTACTAGATGAGATTAGGAGTTAACATTTTGAATATTATGCTAATATTTGTGTCATATTTTTTATAGTCATAAAATTAGCATATATGAAATGGCCTGCTATCTGGGATTTGCTTCAGAACAACTTAGGATATGGTGAACAGATTCAGAGTCCTATGGAAGATAAAACATTGGCTAAAAATTATGGGTTAAGCATGAACTTAACTAGACTAGCCTCTCAATTTTAGTGTAGAGTGGAGGGAGCATAATGGACTATGTGGGTGGGCCGTGGGTAACTTGGGGTGCACTATGGTGGCAATATCTGGAGTAGAGAGGCCTATGCTTCCAAAATACCAACAATGATGTAAGCTGACCTTACCTCAAAAAAAGTGTAATATGATAACATATTAAAATTTATAGAGTGTGGCTATTTTAGTGGAGCTAGTCCAAGTTAAATTGGAATAAAGTATTTGTGGTGTGAGGAAGGAGGACTAAGCAGCAACTGTGTTTAAAACCCCCAAATTCCATTATTTTCCGAAGTATTTCAGTTCCATCGGGTATTTTTGAAAACTCATGTGATCTTGACAGCAAGAGTTCTCGCCCACATTGTATTTTGTGAAACACTAACATACAGGATTGAATTTGGTTTTCACAAAAATCCTGAATGGGATGCAGGGAAAGTATTATTTTATAGATGGGGAAAGAAAGACTCACAGGTGAAGTGGCTTGTTCAGGATCAGGAAGGGCATCAGGAAGTAACCATATCTTATGTTTGCAGAGCGTTTTCCATAATAATGTTATAATTACCCACAGGGAAGTCAGGATTCAACCTGTGAGTAGCATTGTATCAGTTACCACCAGATTTCATGGGGTGAACTAGGTAGCAGAATGGATGCCAGGATTTCTTTCTTGTCTCAGGTGGGACTTCCTCAAAATGGCCTCCTCCCACACCCACAGTGTTATTTGCTCCAGAGGCAAAAGTCTGTACTGACTTATTCCTCCTCATAATGAGTCATTCCTTTCCATGTTGAAAACTACATTCTTTCAGGCTCTCTATCCTACAGGTATCCAGTGGGATTTTCTGGACTTGCTCTTCTAGGTGAAATTATTTGGCTGATGACCATTGCTTCCTTTTGTCATCTGAC